ATACAGTGGTCCCTCGTTGTTCGTAATTAATCCGTTCCTGGAGCCGTTACTATAAACGAAATTTACGATTTACGAATCAATTTTCCCCATAAGAAATAATGTAAATACAATTAATCCGTTCCTGACACCCAGAAGTATTAAAACAAAAAAAATTTTAACATGAAATATGCATGTAGTACATAAACAATACAATGGGAAATGATGAATGAAACATTAACAGCATAACACTTACCTTTATTGGAGATTCTTCTTAGTGTGTGGGAGACTGGAGGAGGAGAGAGAGTGGATTGTTTATAGTTTGGAAGGGTAATCCCCTTCCATCAACACCTCAGGTACCATTTGCTTTTCTGGGGTTGCTTCTCTTCTCTGTTTCTTAATGCCACTAGGACCACCTTGAGAGTCACTGGAGTCCTGTCTCACAAAATAACTGTGGAGAGAGCTCTGTTTCTGGCGTCTCTTTAACACTTCCCTAAAATGGCCCAAGACTTTGTCACTGCACATGTTGCCAACCTGGCTTGCAACAACCTTGTTAGGGTGATGTTTCTCCATAAAGCTTTCCATCTTACCCCACATAGTAAAAATCTCTTTAATTTCTGAAGAAGGCACCTTCTTCCATCTCTCTTCCTCCTCCTCTGCAGCAAGATTCTGAGCTGCGATGTGTTGCTCTTCCTGCTGAAGCTCTTGCAGCTCCTCAGTGGTAAGCTCTTCATTGTGGTCTTCCACCAATTCTTCCACATCCTCCAAACTCACATCCAACCCCATGGAACTCCCCAGTGCCACAATTGATTTTACAACAGACATAGGCTCATTAGGGTCAGTCCCAAATTCTTCAAAATCCCTCTTGTCGACACAATCTGGCCACAATTTTCTCTAGGCAGAGTTCAAAGTCCTGGTAGTCACTCCCTCCCAAGCCATATCTATAAGTGTTATGCAGTGGAGGATGCTGAAGTGTTCTCTCCAAAATTCCCTTAGGGTCAAGTGAGTGTCTGTGGTCACAATCAAGCACCTGTGAAACATTGCTTTTGTGTAGAGTTTTTTAAAGTTTGCAATAACCTGCTGGTCCATGGGTTGGAGGAGAGGAGTGGTATTCGGGGGCAAGAACTTTACTGTGATGAACCCAAACTCCTCGAAAATTAGGTCATCCAAGTTTGGAGGATGAGCAGGTGCATTGTCCATTACTAGCAGGTACTTGAGATCCAATTTCTTTTCCAGGAGATACTCCTTCACACTTGGGCCAAACACTTCATTGAACCACTCGACGAAAATTTCCCTCGTGACCCATGCCTTACTATTAGATTTCCAGAACACACACAATTTACTCTTCATAACATTGTTTTTCCTGAACACTCTGGGATTTTCAGAATGGTACACTAGTAATGGCTTCACTTTGAAATCCCCACTAGCATTAGCATAGAACATTAGCGTCAGCCTGTCTTTCATAGGCTTGTGTCCTGGCATTGCCTTTTCCTCTTGTGTAATGAAGGTCCTCTTTGGCATTTTCTTCCAAAAGAGGCCTGTTTCATCACAATTGAACACTTGTTCAGGTTTCAGTCCTTCAGCCTCTATGTACTCCTGGAATTCATGCACATATTTTTCAGCCGCCTTGTGGTCCGAACTGGCGGCCTCGCCATGCCTTACCACACTGTGTATGCCAGTACGGTTCTTAAATCTCTCAAACCAGCCTTTGCTGGCCTTAAATTCACTCACTTCACCACTATTTGCAGGCAATTTCTTTACCAAATCTTCATGCAACTGCCTAGCCTTTTCACAAATAAACGAAGTCATAAGAGTATCTCCTGCTAATTGTTTCTCATTTATCCACACCAATAATAACTTCTCAACCTCTTCGAGTACTGGTGATCTCATTTTTGTCAGCATAGTTACTCCCTTTGCAACAACAGCATCCTTTATTTCATTTTTCTTGGCTACTGTGGAACATAAGGTTGTGTAGGGTTTCTTATAAATCCTGGACAGTTCGGCCACATTTGTACCACTTTCATATTGTTCAATGATGGTTTTCTTAAATTCAATCGTATTTCTCACCTTCTTTACCACAGGCTTGGCACTAGGAGCTTTCTTTGGAGCCATGGTAGCTTATTTAGTACGTACTTGCAAGCACTAAACTAAATGGAATATTATGAAATATTTCGCTGGAGCACGTGAGGGGACCTTCGCTCACTGGTAAACAATGGCAGACTGGCTGCCGCCCTGGCTCATGCCGTGGGTACGCATCCCGGACGAACTACGACTCACGAGTCAACCTATGAAAAGCGAGTCCATGTTTATATGAAAATACCTCTATGATTGGCGAATTTTACGATTGCCGGGAACTACGAAAAGCGGGGGACCACTGTATATACATGCCCCTCTGGGTTTTCTTCTATTTTCTTACTAGTTCTTGTTCCTGTTTATTTCTTATCTCCATGGGAAAGTGGAACAGAGTTCTTCCTCCGTAAGCTATGCGTGTTGTAAGAGGCAACTAAAATGCCAGGAGCAAGGGGCTAATAACCCCTTCTCCTGTATAAATTACTAAATTTAAAAAGAGAAACTTTCGTTTCTCTTTTTGAGCCACCCTGCCTTGATGGGATACGGCTGGTTTGTTGAAAAAAAAAAAAAAGTAATAATAATAATAATAGCAACAACAGTAAGGAGAAACTTCAAAAGGCTGCCAGTAGCTGGTGCCACCATCAACAAAACATTGGTAATCAATACTTTTCACCTGTCTAGACTTAAGTAGTCTATAAGTATTAGGTTAAGTCTGCCCGAAATGCTTCAGCATGATAGTGGCTTTCTTCGCTCCAATCATATTATGATAACACATTGTAACCTTTGCAAAGAAATAAGCATTTTATTTATTTATTTAAGGAACCTCCCTTGAGGGGGAAAGTACGCATCCTGAAATTTCATTCGTATCCAGAAGCAAAAAAATTGACTGAACAACAGTTCGTATCCTGAAAAGTTTGTATGGTGGAGCGTTCATAAGCCGAGGTTCCGCTGTATTTAAATTTGAAATGATTCATGAAATTCATAATTTTCCAAATTAAAATGAAAATTCTGAATTTAAATTTACAGCTGATTCCCAGAGATAGCCTGGCAAAACTTGATATTGATCTACTGTATTTATGAGGAAGAGTGGGTAAGCAAGCAAGTGGGAACACTAGCAATTGGGTGAGAAAGTATGTTAAGAATGTGGGAAAGTGAGGGTAAGGGCAAGTGAGGGCAAGCAAGAGAGTGGGATGACAGGAAAGAGTTGGAGGTTCAAGTAAGCAAGTGGAGGGTAGTTAAGAGTGGAGAGAAATAATGGATAAAGTAGGCAAGTGAGGGAGGGGGTGTGGGTAAGAAGAATGTCACTGCTATAGCTACCGCTACCTCAGTAGGCTTATAGGGGTGATTGTGGAAAGTGTGTCATTCAGCAAGTTTGTTCCCTCGTGTATTCCCTTTTGCTCATAGTTACATTGACTGAAGTGACTTTTGTGGCAAACGACTACAGTTCCTAACATTAAATAAAGAAATGAAGTACTTGTACTGTAGTCAATGTGAATGAACTTCTCTCTGCTACTGGCATGGAAAGGTATACTGTAGTGTTTTGTCAGTCTTTCTGAGTTTATAGCATGCTGTTGTGTGATGCCATAATGTTGATGTTGCATATCTTTTTTATTAAGCAAAATTGAAAGGAAAGCAAAAGCAGCCATGTCTTAAAATTTGTGGCTACTGTTAGTTTTCCTTGATGTTTGTTTTAATTTATAATGTATATACTGTATATATATATATAAATATATAATGTAATCTAGAACAGTAGGGCCCCGACTATGTGTTCCAACTTATGACATTTCACACTTACTACGTTGGCACTTTTTAACCAGTTAATTAGCTATGGACACATGATCTGCACTTCCAACAGTGGGAATCCTTATAAATGTATACATTCTTAATTTGTTTTTTACCAGATGCATTCACACTTAATGTATGATCATTCTAGAAATGCATGTATAGAGCTCACATTTGTTTTGTAGATATTGGTTAAAATTTTTAGACATAATTACATTCTGTGATAGGTGCCACTTCTGCTGATTTGTGCTGGATGTGCTAGTGAGTGAGGTGTGGAGAAAGCATTTATTCAACTTCAGCAACACTATCCCTCCACATCCCTTACACAGTTAACCTCAAGATTATCTTTCCATACTATGGGTGGGGCCCCACTTATACAGCAGGTTAGATTCTGGGCTACTGCTGCAAAGCAAAAATTGCTGTTAAGTGAAACATAGCCTTATTTTCACTTTCAAATGCATGTAAAAGCCTGATAACATGTTACA